GAAAACTAAGCAAGGTTTCCCTGGGCTTTCAAGGAATTCACTTTTTTTTATCAAGAACGTTACAAAATATCTCAGGTCGATTCTTGTGGTGTTTCCAATTTTAGAAGATCAAAAGCCCCCTGTCATGAATCTTCTATCCCTAAGTCAAATAATTTCTTATGTGCCTCTGCTGTATCTTATCCTTTTTCCTCGTGCCATTACTGTTGACTGAAAAAAAGAAGAGTATTTGCTTATAAGCTGCTGGTTTTTGCTTTTTTCCCAGAAAAGTGTATGAAACTGTGCAGTTGATCTACAATTCAGCTTTGAATTCTTTTTTTGACTGTCCTCATCTCAGTTACTCGTGTTTGGTGTCTAGGCTCTTAGTTCAGTTCCCTTCCTTATTGTTTTACTTTTATTATGACACCTGCCCAGGAAAAGTGGGGAACAGCTAAAGGGATAGTGGACGGTAGCACCAGGGGACGTGCCGCCTCAGAATACAGGCCAAATGTGGCTTTACTTGTCACTCTCCAAAATCTGGGCTGTTCGCTGGGGGCTGTCAGGGGCTGAGGTGGCAAGTCATGCCGAAGGGCTGTCACTTCACACCCACCTAGGTTGGTTTCTGAGACAAAAGAGTTTAGACTTCTGAAATTAGTTATTTGTTGTCAGTTCCACCTTTCCTTCTGTCATCACTCCTCTGCCTGCAAGTGTATGTGTCTCAAGAGAAAGTAATTTGCTTGTTCAGAAGACTGCCAGCGGCCTTTTTCCCTTTTTGGTACCTAGCTCCCACACATACCTGAAATCTCACAAGCCCTGCGACCTTATAACTGGAGCACACTGGCATTGCTCTATTGATTGGCACATGAGGAAACATGAGCTTGTTTGTGTCTCACGTGCATCTGGCAGACTGGACTGCGGTCTGTGGCATCAATAGGAAGTAGCCTATGTTCAACCAGATTCTTGAATCAAAGCACCCTATGCCCATAGTAGCAGATAGATTCGATCCTTTAGGTCAGCTTCAGTCATTCACTAGAGAGCGATATGAAGAAGGATTCTGAGGCCACATCATGGCATAGCAGCAGACTGCTGTGGTCCGTTGATAATGTCTGCCATGCTAGTGGGAGCAGGCTGTGGCAGTCCTTGAATTCTGGCAACTCTTCCCTGCATTGCTTAATGCTTTTGGCGCATTTGAAAATATACATAGGAATAAGGAGATTTTAAGTAAATTGGGGTTTATTTCCCTAGTAGAAGCAAGGCCCCTCCATTTGCAAAAGGATTGGAGAATAGGGGCTTTACAGCTTTAATCCAGATACCTTGACCACAGGCAAAGGATCCAGTTTGTCAAAGCACTCTTCTACCAGTTTTTCTAGGACTATAGCCATAAGTTCATGATGTGTGGCATTTTACTGGTCAGAGTAACTCCAAGGCCCCACTTTCAGAATGGTGTTATTCAGTGTTTCCCTATGCCCCACAGATGCAGAGCAGGTGTATCAGTGCATTATATGTTCATGATGGACCTACAGCAGTGGACACAAAAGCCATAGCACATAACTACATAATAAAGGATGTTTTTATTTTAGCTCAAATGTCCAGAAGTTTACCTCCTGGCAAGGAGCCTGATCACATTGAGTTCAACTCATAGAGCATCTTCTGACTCTTCCATCAGAAAATGGTTAGTCCGACTGCCCAAGTGGGAGCAAAAAGACCACAAGTTCTTATACAAATATTTTCATTGTAATTAACTTTTAATGATTTGAGCCCATGTTTACTGATTTATTTCTGTTTCTTTATGTGTGTCAGTGAAGGGAGAGAGTATGCAACATCTGTGTAGAAACATTACTTAACTCAAAATTTCACTTGCATGAAGTGGTGACAGTGCTGTCCCTTCTATAAAAGAGGATTGTTTTCTCCAAAATGACTTTGATTTTTTTTTTTATTATTCACTTAACAAATATTTATTGAGTGCTAATGTGTGCCAGGCACTGTTCTGGGCACTGGGGAGGCAGCAGTGAAACAGAAAACAAAAAATAATCCCTGCCTTCATAGAGCTTGCAATTTTTTCCCTCTGTTACTTCATAAAATTATATATAAATACTTGGTTATTACAGTATATTGCTTTTTTTTTTAGTGGGTTTTAAAATGTTTTTTTTTGTAGAGTCCTATTTTCTGCAGGGTTCTGATGTAGTCATTTATTTTGTTTGTTGGAGTTGGAAAGGTAGTTTGTAATGAGAGTTCTCACTGGTTTTAGGTTCTATTTCTCTATCACAATGAACAAGCTTGTAAAGAAAAATCAGAGCGTTTCATGTTAATTTTTTAAACTGCCTCCTTCTACCCAGCATGCCTCCTCTTCACAGGAAAGCATTCTGGGCTGCATATTAATTACATGCATATAAGGGAAACAGCTGTTGTACTGTATCAAAGCTATAGATATAAGTTCTTTCTTCTGTGTAGATCAGGATTTCTTGATCTTGACACTGTGACATTTGGGGCCAGGTAATTTTTTGTTGTGAGAGGCTGTCCTGTGCATTGTAGAATGTTTAGCAGTATCCCTGGCTCCTACCCACTAGGTGCCAATACTACCCTTCCCCCTTGAGTTGTGACATTACCTGATATGTCTCTTGTTGGGAGGGGAGGGGTGACAATTTACCCCCAGCTGAGAACCACCTGTATCAATGATGTGATTATGTGATTCAGGTCTCACATCCTCTAATCATAGTAAGTCAGTGAAATCCCTGGGAAAAAAGCACCTGGAACAAGAAGTGTTTTCTGTCTGGCCTTTGTAGAACCTTGGAGCAACTTTCCACTATGAAAGAATTAATATAAAGTGAGCAAGATATTTATTACTCCAGTGAAGCAATATTAACAACAAATGATGAAATTCTTTCAGTAAATCATGTCTTGGAGATACTTTGCATTTCCTATTGGAAACTTGTTAAAATCATATTCATTTACTGTAAGTTAGAAAGCATGTTGGACACAGTATATTGTAAGTTAATCTCGAATGATTTACAAGTAAATGTGTTCCAGATTTGGTGATCTCAGCTCGAGCAGTAGACAGCTGGCTTCCAAACATTTCCATTCTCAAGAACTAACATCCAATTCAATAAATATTTATTGGAACTTATTGAATTGAAAGTAAACTTATTTATTGAAAGTAATGTGAGAAGGCTTTAGAACAGTCTGATACTGCTTCCATGACCCAGTCCAGCAGAAAAGCAGCACTCAATAGTGCCCAAAAGAATCTCTTGATCTGACGAGCACCTCCCACACTGGTTTACAAGAGAGTATAAGGAAACTGGCTCTTTCCTTCTCCTTCACTGCCTCAAGCTTCTTCCCATGCTGGGCCAGCTGCACTCTCCCCAGTGAGTACCAATTATTACACATGATGTCATGTGTTTCTTATTAGTTCTTTGGTCCCAAATGGGCTGCTTCTCAGTTTTGACAGGGATATCCATTGCATGATCTACCTGTCAGGCTGACACGGTATTTATTGCAAAGTGTCCAAAGCAGGACCAACCTATCTTGGATTTCTGAATCTTCTTCACTTCTCACACACATACCAGTAGATTAAAAAATGCAGCATATGCTGCTGATATAAGTCACTTGAAGAAGGGTTGGCCTTGACACAGAGAAAAAAGAAAAGAAGGTGAAAAGAGGAAATAATGGATCTTTACTCCTTTACTCATTCAGTTGCTATTTATTTTGCCAGGCACTGGCAGTGTGATGAAAATGGACAGGCCCTGTTTTCCTGGAATGTGCAGTCCATTGGGCAGTGAGACAAGTGGACAGGTCATGTTTTCATATGGTACAATAGGTGCCCTGATGAGGGAAACCAAGATGCCACGGGAGCACTTAGAGAAAACACTACCCCAGCCCAGGGAGTGTGGGGGAATCAGAGAAGACCTTGCAAAGGAAGTGGTGTCTTAAGTGGGACAGAGGATACATTGCATATCAAAGCAGGCGGGGGGGGGGGGGGGGGGTTCAAGGGTATTTTTTAAGGCCTGAGGGGGGGGGGGGGGGGGGGGGGGGTAGTTCAAGGCTATGTTCTAAGGCCTGAAGGTGTGGTGGGGGGAGAGGTGAAATCTTTGAAGAACTGAAAAGTTGGGCATGTTTGAATAGTAGAACATGAGCCAAGAGTGAGAAGTAAACAAGAAAGCAAAGAAGGCTGATTTTTAGGATTCTGACTTGAGCAAATGGGTCATTGGTAGTGCCATTTCCCATGGAAAAGTAGGTTTGAGGAGGGTGGGGTGACAATGACTCAAGTTTTTAATCCACCACAAACTCTAGAACATAGGAATCATTTTAAAAAATGTTTTTGAAGGATGTCAAAAGCTAATGGAAATTTGAAAAGTTAATTAGCAGCTTTAAATGATTTTGTTACTGTAGGCTATCATGACATCCTGCAAATGTACTTGGACCTCTTAGGTTCTGCCAATTTTATTTCTCATCCAGTAACGAGTTCTTAATTTTGACACTTAATCATCCTCATATTGCTTAAACTTTACCAATTTTGTGCCTGAAGAATGGGTAGCCATGAGTGAAGACATCTAGTGACTTATGTGCTGTGTTCTGGCTTTTTCTGCAGTCCTGTTCCCTCTTCTTTAGATTTCCTTTGCTGTGATGAAAGTTTTTATTCTAATATTACATAGACACATTTTGTAGAGCATACATTATTTTTTGAGAAAACTAAAGAAAAGCATAATCAGTAAGTATTATTAGACTGTCTTTAGGCAGGTGTGTGATATTACAGAATTTTGACGTATGCAGGCCTCATGTGCCACATGGTGAGCATTGCACTCTGTGATGATCCTGTCACCCAGAGCATATGGGGAACCAATGTCATTGTCAAGTCAAGGGAACTGAGATTCCCCATAAGCATCCACTTTAGCCACTGCTTTTCCTCATGTCCCCGTAGGCCTGAAATATCCAAGGGCAAGCTTGATAAATTATTCCTCTTTAATAGGGAAGCAGCCCAGCTACTAGGGAGCATCCAAGTTCATATGCCTCCTCTTTGTTTTTGGCAGGAATTTAGATAATGGGCTGTGTGCAATGTAAGGATAAAGAAGCAACAAAACTGACGGAGGAGAGGGACGGCAGCCTGAACCAGAGCTCCGGGTACCGCTATGGCACAGACCCCACCCCTCAGCACTACCCCAGCTTCGGCGTGACCTCCATCCCCAACTACAACAATTTCCATGCAGCCGGGGGCCAAGGACTCACCGTCTTTGGGGGTGTGAACTCTTCGTCTCATACTGGGACCTTGCGTACGAGAGGAGGAACAGGTAAGCCCCCACGGTGGTGGAGGGCTGAGGATGGAGAGGGGGCAGCTGCTCTCCCTCTCGTCTTGGCTGAACGTGTGTGCTCTAGTCAGCTCCCTTTGACTAGGGATTTCACGTGTAAGTTTCTACTCAGTCTCCACCTATCCTCTACCATATGAGAGGCCATTAAAAAAAAAAGGCAGAGCTTGATGGACAAATCAAAATGCCTGGCTACAGGGGTGTAGGGGCCCAAGTTGCTGCTCTGTGAGGACTCTGCATAGCTTAGTGAGTTGCAGCATTTCACTGAAGCACCAGAGGCCACTGGCTCTCAACCTTCACACTGGCTGGCTCAGAATAACCAGGGCAGCTTTTTCAAAATACACGTGCCTGAGCCTCATCCCAGATATTTTGAAGCAGAAGCTCCGGAACTAGGTCTGGGCATTTGAGTTCTCCAGATATTAATGCACTCCCTCCCCCACTTTTCGGGGGTAGAACCTTCTCCCTCATCTTCCTAATCTTCAGCCACCTGTCACTTCCCAGCTGGTGGGGTCATTTGGCAGCATTATTTTTTGACCATTCATCTTTACCAATTCTCTCTCTGATCTTAACTTCCACATGACTGAGTTTATAAGCCCTCACATATTTCCATCTTCTATGTCTTCTTAGTCTCTTCTATGTACTATTTTATTTTCCTTTTGTGTGTGTGTATTTTAAAATCAAGTCTTATGTCTCTTTAAGGGACCTTTCTCTATTTTTTTTGGAAGTTTCTCTGTCTTTCACACCACAAAGCTATATTTTACTGCCATGTGTATTTGCTGACTTAGCTAATATTTTGAAAAATATCTGGCATAAATTCTTAAACATATGTTTTCCAAAATATTTGTAAGTTGTCTCATACATCCTTAATCTTCCAAATCCTCTCCCAGTATGCAAACCATGGTAACTAGATATTTGACATTATTTGTTCCAAATTTGTTTTATTTATTACAAAAGTTTAAAAGAATGTAGCATCTCTCAGCTCATCTGGGAGCAGATGTCATATATAATGACCCATTATGCCTTTTTACCTGGGGAATTGGCTCTACCAAGGTATTAGCAGAGTTTTTCCCCCCTCTGCACCCAATGCATGGTAGTGTAGTTTTATCAAGGGGGCCAGTCAGAACCTTTGGACATTATCTATATCTCTTCTGCTAGCATATCATGCTCTGCCAGTAGAAAAAACACTTATGTTCACTCCTGTGCTATGGTGACTGTAGCTTTCCCTTTAACCCAGGCCTCACATGGGTGAGTGAATGCCAGGTGCACTCACCCACTCCTCCTGCCTTCCCGGGAGGCACCTGGAAAGAAAGGAAGAAGGAAAGAGGCAGACAGGCAGACTAGGGCCATCTGTCTCTTGACGATGCAGGAGTAAAACAGAGCCAAAAGAGCACCTGGTGCCTACCATGCGAAGCCCAAGTGCTTTAGCAGCCTGGACTCTTAATTCTGCTGACACAGGCATCGTCTTTACTCATTCCTTTATGAATGCTGGGTGAGAATCCCTGGGTCCACAGGTATCACTCACTGTAGCCACTAGAGAGGGCTTCCCTTGAGTATGTGGGTTTACACCACAGTCAAGGACAATCTTAGTCTAAGAGGCCATCTGATTCCTTATAACATTTGAAAGTTGAAACACAATACCCCCAAATGTTGACAGAATTTTCTGCCTTGTTTTTTGGTTTTATTGTATATGCACATCATTTCTCCCAACGCTGCTCTCAGTCCTTTAGGCCAAGAACAGTGTCTGTGTTTCTCTGTAACCTCCTTTGATTCTTGCTTCAGTTCCTGGAACATAAAAGCGCTCAGTGAGAACTTTTTGGCTGGTGCAAAGGGAGGGTAGGAGTGTCGGTCTTCGTGTGCCTTGTCTTCCGCACCGCACCGTGAAGCTGGCTTGGCTTCAGTCTTAAATTACGTAATGAAGGGAATGTGTTAATAGAGTGTTAAATAAGAATAGGTGTGATCTTACAGGCACCCACACTTTTGTTTTATGCCAGTCTCTTTTCTAACTTTTCAAAGAAATCTGAAGAAAAGAAGACAGTTGCCAAATGAGCACTTCTCTACATGGTCAGACGGTCTGAATGTCACTCTCCTTCAGGAAGTCCCACTTGGGATAGGGCAGAAAGATAAAAACCCTGCTCCTCTCTTCTTTCTGGTTCTTGAATAGTCCCATGGACACATCTGCCCCTTGGAACTACCTGCACAGCAATGTGGCAGCTTGGTAAAAGATTAGGCTCCGTGTTGTGTGTTCTGTAGGCCATATTAGGCACTTTGAAATGTGTGGAGATGAAAATGAGAAGCCAGATTGCAGACAAATGGAATGTATTAGTTATTAATTGCTATATAATGAATTACCACAAAACTTAGCAACAGTACACATTTATTACCTCACTGTTTCTGTGGGTCAAGAATCTGGGACTGAATTAGCTGGGTCCCCTACTTCAAGATCTTTCACAGGCTGCAATCAAGGTGTGTTGCTGGGCTACAGTCAGCTCATGGTTCAACCGAGAATGTTCTGCTTCCAATCTTGTGTGGATTGGAAGGATTCAGTTCTCTGCTGGCTGTTGACAAGAGGTCACCCTCAGTTCTTTGTCATGTTGTCTTCACCAGTGTGGTACTTTGTTTCTTTCATCAAAGTATGCAAGCCAAGTAGCAGTAGAGAGAGTCTGCTAGCAGGACAGAAGTCACCATCTTTTGAAGCCTAATCACTTAAGGGACGTCCCATCACTTTCCCATTCTATTGCTTAGAAGCAAGAGGCAGGAATCATTGAGGGCTGTTTTAGAATTCTGCCTATTGTATGGAGGAAGTCCTAGGCCAAATAGGACTCTGGACGTTCTTTGCTGCTGATAGCAAACTACTGTAAAGCAGGAAGGGCCTCTTGGGGAGGCCAACAGATGAGAAGCCAGGGTAGGTGTGAGGAAGAGTGAGCACTACAAGACAGTACAGGTGAGGAGAGTTTAAGGTAGAAGGAGAACAGTGGGGAGGGATTCCATTTGCAGCAGGAGAACTGAGTGGCTGAAAACTTCAAGAACAATTGCAGGTGCCAAGGGCAGTACATCCTCTAATTGGGGTAAACATTACGGAAAGAGTGTTTTCTAAATTTCCCCAAGCTGCAGAGGGAGTTTCCTGTTACGTCCTTTGTTACTGTTATGCTAGGGGAAGGAATGATCCATTCTACCTGGAACCCAGTATGGGCTCCCGCATGGAAGAGAATGTGTGTCAGATAAAGGGTATCAGTAATTGCTGCAGAGCCCTGCAAACCTGAGCCATAACGCTGCTGCTGCCCTGTAGTTGTGGACATGATGTCTGTTTCTTCCCCAAAACTCATTCAAAGGTATGCAGGGAAAAGTCCTTCAACTCCAGGTTTCTGTCATATCAAATAATACTCCACCTACAAAGACTAAGGCATACATACATCCCTGTGACTCTCGTTTTCACACATTAATTACAATACTTCATCATGTCATTAGTGTTGACTGGATGTGGACTTTCAGAATGAGATTTTAGTGAAGATGTAATTTCTTGGAATTAATTTCCCTTTGTGTAATAGTCTCTCCTTTTGATTTTGTTTTATCAGGAGTGACACTGTTTGTGGCCCTTTATGACTATGAGGCACGGACAGAAGACGACCTGAGTTTTCACAAAGGAGAAAAATTTCAAATATTGAACAGCTCGTAAGTTTGGAGAGGGGTGGGGAAGCAGGCGTGCCTTTCAAATTGGGAAAAGATTCTTGTGTTACCTCTTCAGACATCTGTGAAACTAAAAGAAGACTTGCTAAATTCACTAGTTCATAGCAATATAGTTTGTGGAATGAAGTCAGTGACACAATGCAGTATTTAATGGCATTGTATGTCCAAGGAGCTTTTTGAAGGATACCATAGTAGCACAGTACATGTTTTTATGTTTTGCTTTTGGTTTAAAGGTTGTAAACACACCAGCATCGCCTCCACAGCCCATGGCTTTTCCAAAGGTCTCCAGTTTCAAATGATTGGCATGAGGCTTGGCTGCCCTGAGACCTTCTTCACTCTCGGGCACCGCCCTCACTTAAGTCTGGCAACAAGTTCCTTCTGTTTTCAAAACTGCTAAATATCCCATCTGGGGAAGCCTGTGGAGGCATTTCCCTGTAATGAAAATTTGGGGGATGACTGAAATCTTTGTGAGATGGATGGAAAAGTGCTTTCACCCACTCACAAGTGACTGTAATGTGCGTGTTTTAACTGTGGCCAACAACAATACCAGTTAAACGTAGTGGGGAAATTTCAAGAGTGAAAATCACTTGTTTTTCAAATTCTGCATTTGATACCTCCATAAGGAAGAGTAAATGTGGTTTAGGTTTCCCTGTGGATTTTATATATTACTGCTATTAGATTAAGGCAGTGTGCATGGATTGGGGCCATCAAGAAAGATCCAGGCACCCAAGGAAATGGTGGGGTCCTGTGTCAGCGAGCCAGGCACCTCGAGTGTCCTTGTGAGCACTCCCTGGTGTTTGAGAAAGAATACCACCTGGGGGCTGAGGGGCACACTGGGAAGGTCTCCTATGACACCAGGTCTGGTTGCTTCTCCTCTCTTCTCTGAGCAAACTGGTTTCATGGTGGTAGAAGGACTTGAAGTCTGGCTCTTTAGCTTTCCCAAAAGGATGAGTTAGGGGAAGGAAGAGTCAGCCCTGCTCACACCCTCATCCCAGGAAAGAGGAGTGGTCATTGGAACAGGGAACTCCCTCAGGCCTGGAAATTGCCTCCTTGGAAATCCTACCCCCTCCCTGGAATGCCCCCAGTTCTCGGGACCTACACGGCAAATATGCCACCTTTCAATAGCAAGACAAGAACAGATTCCTCCGTTCCGAACAGAGGCCAGTAACTCTCTTCTAGACATCAGGAGACACTGTCTACATAACCACAGTGTTTTTAAAAATTATTATTGTCATCATTAACAGAGGTGTGGGTGGTTTTTTAAAAACTTTTTATTGAAATACATGCAGAAAAGTGCACATATCAAAAGTGTATATGGTGATATTTGCACAACAGTGTGAATGTACTCAACTGCTACTCAACTATACACATAAAAATGGTTAAAATGATTAATTTTATGTTACATACATGTATTTTGCCACAATTTTTTAAAAGTATACAGTTTGCTGAATTTACACAAACTGAGCATGCCTGTGCAACCAGCACCCAGGTCAAAAAGAGTATTACCTGCCCCCCTCCCCCCAGGAGCCCTCTTCCTGTAGCCACAGAAATTTTTTAAAAATAGTAAACAGCTGCTGTTTATTGAAGACTCTTTATGTATTAGCCATGTGCTAAGTTACAAATGTTCTCATTTATTCTTCACAACAAGTGTCAGAGGTCCGTATCACAGTCGTCATTCGATATCTGAAGAGCTGGAGTCCCAGGTTAGGGAACTTTCCAAGTGCACAGAGCTAGCAAGTGGTAGGGTCCAGGGTAAGATATGAGGACCATATCCTGAGTGTTTGGTCTTGGAAAGGCCCAGAAACCCCCATCAAAAGAGACTAAACCATTGGAGCTACACGAAGGTTCAGAAGTTGGCCAGGAGGTGATGGAGGAAGGAGTTCGGCTTTGACCACTTCTGATTTATGATCCTTATTGTTAGTTTGATTCTCAGATGAATGCTTCCTGTCAGAGTCTATTAGCTTTGAATTGTGAAATACACCCCACTTACCCTCCCAGTTTATACAATATTCCCTAAATACCAAGGTTGATTAGAAATTTTAAAACTATTTGTAAATTCTAAAAGGTAAGAAGCAAGGAGTAGTAGGAAGGACCATACACAGCTCTTCTAGTGGTCTCTCCGTATGACAGTGGATCCACGCTAAGGCCCTAAGGCACTTGGAAGGTCAGTCCCTGCCAAAGTCAGATCCATGACTTCTTCCTTTGTTAATCTGGAAAGGATCCACAATGTCATCAAAATAAAATTTTAGAGAAACATTTAAGGAGGATCTAATCTATCTCAATCTGTATTTTACGATTTGCATGCATGGCCTTTGGTGTTTACAGAGCCTTTGAGCCTCTGACCCTGCTCTTTTAGAAGAAAACATTACAAAGATTTTTTTTCCCCTTAATGTTCTTCCTTTTTTGCCGGTGGAGTTCCTCATCCTACATGCCATTTAAATGCCTTTTTTCAAGGTCATGGAAAAGAAAAGTAAGGTTTGTGTAACAAATACAATATCCTGAAGTCATGGGTAATAACAGGGAAGAGAAAATCGTGAAAGAAAAAACAAAGCGATAACACAGAAGCAGATGGCATGCGGCTCCTCCCCTCCCCCAGCCTCTCCCAGCCACTGGTTGTTCTCCCTGGGACAGCTGCCACACCTCCTAGTGTGTGTCCTCCCACTCCCTTCCCCTATCAAGAGGCAGAAACTGGAGGCCACAGGGCTGGCTTTTGTGTCTTACAGTGCCAAATTGACCGTGGAATGAATGTGTGCATATGTGCCCAGAGGCAGAGGCACCACTGCCCAGCATGGGTGGGAGTGACCATTGTAAATGCTCAGTGTGGTTGTGAGGACATTATTAAACTTGAACCCAGCTTGCAAAATATTTAAGTTCGTTCATTTTATTCCCTATCTTCACATTTCATGACTAGTGATTTACCATCTAGAAACAGTGACTCTTTAGAATATAATAAATATTTACACAGAGTGGAGTAGATGTCAGTGCCTAGGGCAATGATAAGAAATCCTGGTTTAGAACCCCACCCAACATTTGATGTGCTCTTTGAAAGTAAGATGGGCAGTGATGAAATTCAGAAAGAATCCAGCATTTATGATAAAAATGCTCCATGGCTGGGCAGATCAAGGCTGACTTCTGTTGGCAAATGCCACTCCCTGGCTCCTTCAGGGCTCCAGGGCACCTGGGCTCCTGGCTCCTGGGACCACAGGTCCTATGAGCAATTTGGGGGATTGGTGACAAGCTCTTTTAATAAGTTTTCAAATCAGAGGAACAAGGGAAGCTGTTATACAAACTTAAAAGCCATTCTAAACCAGCACCAGGGTTTAAATCATATATTTGAATCAGAACAAGATCACGATTAAAGAATATCTCACCAAGTGTGAGTTAATGAAAAATCTGAACTGTAAGAACAGTTTAAAGAAATGCAGTTTTAATAATGCTAACACAGTAACTCAAGTAAAGAAATAAAGGGTAGATTAGGAGATGTCTTATTTTCCTAATCAACGTGAATTAATTGTAGAGTGTATTATTTACTTGTAGATTCACCTACTCGTGCTTCTAATGGCACCATTAAAAAGATCTTCTATTCATTGCCCAGCTTTTGATAGATGTTTTGAGCCTATCCTAGCCTCTCTGGGCACATGTGAGGTTTACTACATATTGCATTGAGTCTTTGTTACCTCTTGTCTCTTTTGATGGAGAAAGTGACCCTAGATGACCTAGAAAACAAAAAATCAACGATTTTATCTTTCTCATGAGTAACTGAAAACCCTTGTGAGATTAATGGAGTCATGTTATAAAATCATGAATTCTTGATACATGACTTCAAAACAAGCTGATAGTTGGATTCTAATCTGTGCTAAGCTGTTTAGGTGCCTAGACCAAAATGAGATAGTTAATGCTGGACTCGAATCAGTAATTGCTTCATTAATGCGAGATCAACTGAATAACGTTGGGCTTTTCCCAACCTGCAGCAAAATGTGTTGGCTTCCTGCCGCTGTTGACATTCCCACATACCCGAAAACTGATACTAACCTTTCTTTTTCTTAATTTAATTCAATTAGAACTAACTTGATCAAGGTTATCTTGCATTAAAAAATAAACCTCTGCTGCAAGCACTTAATTTTTTCCTCACCATTTTGGAGCATTTCCCAGGTTTGGGGGATGGAGGGAAGAGATGATGGGTATTGTTATTTTTTTATTATGAAATGTCTCCATCTAGTGGAATTTCAGAGCAGCAAACATTGTCACCATATTAAGATTAAGATTATTATCTCCAGAGCTATTTCCTTCAACATCTACAACGTTTAAAGAAGAAAATGAACTTCTGCATATGTTCTTGAACTATACACTTACAACTGCATGTATTGCTTTTGGGGGGCATGGAAATGAGACCAGTAAAAACTGTTAAAATGTTAACATCTTTAATTTTGTGGTTTGTACCTGAAAGTCAGAGGGATGCATGCCATAGGGGACTCAGTAGCACAGTGTAATCCCTCACGATTGGTAACAATGTAGCTCTTACACTGGGTGGTGGGTTCAGGGGTGTTCCTTTATATATTGTATATTCTTTGATATGTGTAAATATTTCCCAATAAAAATCTGGACATGAACTAAATTTAAGGTTATGAATAAAGGATTTTCTGGATATGGGAACTATTATCTCCTTGTTTTTTTGTTTTTTTGTTTTTTTGGTTTTTTTGGTCCTTTTTTGAGACCGGCCGCATCGCGCTCAGCCACTGAGCGCTGTGAGCACACTGGTCATCCCTATATAGGATATGAACCCGCGGCGGGAGCGCTGCTGCGCTCCAGCGCCGCACTCTACCAAGTGCGCCGCGGGCTCGGCCCTATCTCCTTGTTTTGATTGATTTATTTGTTTAATAGGGTAGAGAGGAAAGATTAAGAAACTAAAATATAAGTTAAAAAATCTTGCTAGCACCCTGGTTTTTTGTGGGCTATTCTGTTACTTATGCCACCAAACACTCCCATAGCTGCACCATAGCACACGTTGGCTTCTCACCATTTGTTTTATTGCTTGATTAAATCCTATCTGGAGCCATTGCTCACTGATCACCTTGCTCAGACTGTCTCTGGAGTAAAGCTTGAGTTTAACATGAAGGCTGGTTATTCTCCACATAATTAAATGAGCCTGCAGAGGATCTTTTACCACGGCCAAAAGCCAGCACATTTTCTTCCCTGGCTGAGAGCTTTGACACAGAGCCCAGCCAAAAAGTGATTTAAAAAAGAAAGGCCTGGGGTTTCTTTTGCTGCCTCCAAGGACCAAAAAAGGAGGGAGAGAGGTGCTGGGCCTCTGGCAGTCAGAAGTCTGAGAGGTCTGATTTGCTCAGGGGCAGTCATGTCTTTCCCTGCCCCTCGCACTCCTGACTGTGGGTTGGCAGAGGGTTCTGCGGACCCTCAGTCCATGTCAGAGCTACCGCCCCACATCTGTTGCCTACCCCTTCTTAATGAGAGAAGCACACACTCATCCCTGCTCCCTGTCATATGTAAACTTGTATGAATCTAAGCATGTAAAGCATACTCATTGGTTTTAAGCTAAAGGTAGTATTATAAGCCCCCCTTTCACGTCCTAAAAGCTCCCCAGATTAGACCATACTATGGCATGGAATATTGGGCAGTGCAAAGTGATGTGACTCAAATCTTACTCACCTAGTGAGTTTTTGTGTGTCCCCTGCATTTGTATCAAAAATGCCTGAGGACAGCCTATCCTGGTGTGGTCTTGGTCATTCTACCCGCAGAAAGGTGTGTCTCCCCATTTTCTAGAGCAAGCAAGGCAGGTAGGTATGTAGAGTATGCTTCCATCTCTCACGGGGCCTCCTGGCAAGCTTCCCTTCCCAGACAATACACAGCTCTGATGTTTTTCTTAAGTCTGAAGCTGGGTTCCCTTACCCTCTGTTCAAGTGGTAGACACTTACCATGCAAAATGCCCCCCAAAAGAGAGCCCTCTTGTGACCAGGGTCCTCCATTCTTAATTCACAGCTCATGGCTGACTTAGACTGTAAGCCATCTGACCTTCACAGGGGGCTATGCTGGAGTTTAGACAAAAGGAACAAGGCTGGAGAGAGCTGATGGTGAATGGCTAGACGATAGTCATGTATGAGGGTACTTCCAAACATTCATGGAAGGATTCATGTTATCTTTTAATTCCATTTTTTCATGAACATTTGGAAGTACCCTTGTACTTCTTACAGCATTGAGTCTGCAACTGCAAAATGTTGAAATGATCAACGTATTTACTTCTTTCTCTCTATTTTCTTTGCAGGGAAGGAGATTGGTGGGAAGCCCGCTCCTTGACAACTGGAGAGACGGGCTACATTCCCAGCAACTATGTGGCTCCAGTTGACTCTATTCAGGCAGAAGAGTATGTTTGTTTTGTTGTTTTCTCTTAACTAGCTTTTATTATAATTTAATTATTTTACTATGGCATTTTATTGTGGCAACCGCAGGAAGGAGAAGAAATTCACCAGAGTGATTAAGGGTTGAGAGAATATGTTAGTGATGTGTTTCAGGCTTTATGCCCTGGTTTTTTGTTTTTGTTTGTTCTTTTTTGTCTTTTTTTTACTGACCGGTAATGGGATCGCAACCCTCGGTGTCGCACCCATACCGGGGACCGGCAACGGGATCGCAACCCTCGGTGTTGCGCCCGCACCGCGCTCAGCCAGTGAGCGGGAACCGGTCTCCACATGGGATCCGAACCCTCGGCGGGAGCGCCTCCGCGCTCCCAAGCGTTCCTTTTTGTCTTTTTTACTGACCGGTAACGGGATCGCAACCCTCGGTGTCGCGCCCGTACCGGGGACCGGCAACGGGATCGCAACCCTCGGTGTTGCGCCCGCACCGCGCTCAGCCAGTGAGCGGGAACCGGTCTCCACATGGGATCCGAACCCTCGGCGGGAGCGCCTCCGCGCTCCCAAGCGGTGCACTCTCCAGTGCACCACCGGGCCGGCCCTATGCCCTGGTTTTTGCCATGTCTATGTAATACTTGTACTATTGTTAACTTAACATACTTCTTAAGCCTGCTCACTTTTTGAAAACTTCATTTTGAAAGGAAACTTTCTATCAGTACCCTAAATGTAAACCCAATAGAGGGTCTATATTTGTCATGGGTAGAAAGTCACCATAAAAATCTGATGAAATTCTAGTTAGAGCATATATTATTACTAGCTCAAGTTTCTAAGCCTGCAGTCTGCTCCCTCTGTTGAGAAAGAGAGGAAGACAGGAGAGAGGGGGCAAATAATTATTAAACATTAAGATCTTTCATCTCAGAAATATCAGAAATATTAAAAGAGTGCTGAGAAGACCTACCCTCCATGCCCAAGGTAAACGCATCTCACAGTGTGTCCCACAACTTGGAAAATATTGTGGTGATGGATTTCAAATGGCCTTTTCCTTAGATTTGGGTCTCAGTTGGTTTCATTGATAATAAATAGTGACGAGCAGTTATTTGGCCCAAACATTCCACTGGTAGCAGTTTAGGAAGGTAGTCAATAAGCTGAAGGGACCTACAAGGGATAACCATTGTTCCTTTTTCTGTCCTGTGGGGATTGACAGACACTTCCAAAGTGGAGAACTGCCAGAGTGGCCTGTGTGCTGCACCTAACTTCTGAAATGAGGGAAAGGACAGTGGTGGCAATGATTTCCCAAATACGGGGACTTGGTCCCCTCCCTGACACCTTGGGGACCTGCCTCTCCTGCTCAGTGGTGGTAATCTTGCCTCGCCAGAAAAGGAGTCAAGAAAAGTCAGTCACTGAGCCCAACCTTTGGCTCTGATATTTAATTTTGCCGCGGATTTGTTTAAGCACTGTGAGAAGGATTAGACTCCACACCCCAGCGAGAGCCCCAGTTAGATCATTCTCCTGTCTTTAATTCCCTCGTATTTCCTCTAAGATCTGTTTTGTTTCCCATTCTCAAATACTCAGTGGCTCTCAGCTGTTTCTATCTCCTAGTGAGTGTGTTTCATCATCAATGAATAAAGCTATTTGTATTGAATTTGTATTTTATGGCAGATTTGCAAATATCCTTTTGTTTTCAGAATAAAAAGTACCATCAAAATGTAACATTACTTTGATTTAACTGGGAACCTACCAACTATATAATTAAGTTATGTTTATAATGGTCAATTTTTTAAATGTTTTGTTTTTAAAGAATACAATATCATTTTTTAAAATAATGCCTATGGCTTTATACATGCAATTAATTATCATTACCTTAAAGTACTATCATTTTGGTGCAATCCATTGTTATAACAATTCCCTTTTCACCACTATTTTACACAGCATTTTAATTGGGTTATTGATACAAACCCAGAAAGTCATTTTTCACCAATAATTGATGTAATATTCTTTAAACCAACTAATGCTATATTAGGATTATCCTCTAAAAGTCACCAAGGAGCCAACATGCAGTGTACCTTCTCCTCAGTGAAACTCTTTCATTCAAAGAAGAATTTGACAGTGAACACATAATACCTATGTTCAAGCATAATGAATTGAAATTTCATCTTAGAAACTGGATCCTTTCACTGTTAAATATTCTAAAAATTGTTCCTACACACAGTTTCCAATGGAATGCTCCAGAATTCTCCCTTGGGGTTTTAGGTCACCTGCTGCTCATTCAGCACCTAATGCGGAAGTGTTAACTAATTTCCAGGCAATGGTTAGGGGTTAAGAATGCAGGAGAAAGATGAAAGACAAATAACAAAGGTCCTGAAGTGACTTGATGTGCTGTCTCCTTAACTGGCACAGGAGTGTCATTCATTTGTTCAGAGAGAATATTAAAATGTCCACAACACCAAGTCATTGTAAGGGCATGTTCATTGACTGTGCCAGCTCTCAAAGGTACACATTACCCAGTCCCTGCAGCTGTGCCAGAGAAGATGTGTGTCAGATTTGTCCAGGTGTTTGGTAAATGCCTTTTGTTTTTCCAAGTACTCATACCTACTGGATAGGAAGAGAAAATAAAAACAAGCATCCAAGGGCAGCAGTTATCTCAAATTAGGGATAGTCTTGACAATTACTTTCAGAGTTCCTGTAGGTGGTAAGTTGCTGAAAATATCATGTCTTTATTCGTTATCCATTCTGACTTCTTTTTAATGTTTGATTAATGATCTCTGTATACACTAAGACTCTGTTTTGTTATTTCCCAGTAGTTGTAATTACTCTCAGAAATCAAGGGTCATTTAGGTGAGCGTGGGAAGGGTCTCCTGCAGTTGCCATTTCAAAAAAAGGTCTTAGATTCCTCTTTTTGTGCATGCAGGTGGCAGTTTTAACACAAACCAGTTCCTGTCATCTCTGGAGGGGAGGAAGACAAACCACAATTCAAATCTGATTTTTTAAAGAGTGAAAGAGATGGATTGGGGATAGAATCAGGATTAAATTAAAAGAGAACTGAATGAAGCTAGTAAAAACACATATAGGGAAAAGCTGAGGACAAAATTGGAGGTGAGGGGGAATTCATGGGCAAAAGAAGAAAGGCTATGCTATTCCATTTCATAAATGACCATTATAAAGTATTTCCTTTCCTTGATCTCATTTAAAGGTGGTACTTTGGAAAACTTGGCCGAAAAGATGCTGAGCGACAGCTTTTGTCCTTTGGAAACCCAAGAGGTACCTTTCTTATCCGTGAGAGTGAAACCACCAAAGGTAAGGTAACAAATGAAGATGTTGGCTTGTCATTCAAATCTGTGGATTAGTCAGAGGGGATGAAAAGCTTATCTCTAATGTACAAGTATTTTAAAATGGCACAGGTTCTTTCTGCCTTGCGAGTAGAGTCCTGTTTTCAGTTTTCCCTGTAGGCTGTATTTCTGCAGACAGCTCCAAAAGAACTACAGAGGCTCAAAATCAAGACCTTCCTTCTGAAACAGGGACTGGGGCAGCTTCACTGCTCCAGGCATACAAGATCATAGAATTTTTAGATGTCCTTTAGAATTATGATTTTCTAAAACTCTTATTTCCTCAGGCACCAATCATACAGGTTGTTTTTGCTTTCCTTTTGTTTTTTTTAATAACTGAGGACTTCACTTTTCCTCCAACTGTTGGCTTTTTCACTATTTAACAACTTATTAGAGCCCACAAAAGGAGATAGGTCAAGGAAAAGGAGAGTAGTGGCCTTGTGGCTTGATCTACCCGATGCTGGTTATCTGTTTCTGTAAAAAGTGTTGTGAAGCAGAAATTTGAAGCTTGCTTCTAGAGAAGCGGTCCTGAGATTTCTTCTGTCACTGTCTCCCGTGGTGCCCCATGGTTTCAGGAGACAAGGGAAGCAAGCTCAGCCGGAATTGTTGTGCTTCTCTTGATTTTGCCCCGGGGGGAGTTGGCTCTATGCTGTATTAGGCAACACAAGGGCACTGAATGGAGTGTTTCAGAAAAATAACCAGGAAGCTTTAAGTCTCAAGGGAAAAATCACTTTCCTGCTAATATTTTCCAACATTTGCAGGACAGCAAGAGGTATCTTGTCCTGTTCCTGAGTGGAGATGATGTGCATGCGTGTGTGTGTGTGTGTGTGTGTGTGTGTGTGTGTGTGTGTGTGTGTGTCCTCTTGATAATTATTAATCAGCAAATGAGACCTAAATAACAAAGAGTACTCAAAATGACTGGAGCTGCTAATGCTTTGCATGTTTACCAGGTGCCTATTCACTTTCTATCCGTGATTGGGATGATATGAAAGGAGACCATGTCAAACATTATAAAATTCGCAAACTTGACAATGGTGGATACTATATTACCACCCGGGCCCAGTTTGAAACACTTCAGCAGCTTGTACAGCATTACTCAGGTAACCTAAATTCTAACTATCTACTAACAGTTTGGACACTGGAGGGAGTTGGTAGGAACAGCAGGAAAGGCAAAAGGCAGGGGAAAGAAGTATAACAGATACATACAAAGTCACTAGCAAAATATTTTTCTTTGCCAGCCTCTAACAGCAGGGCTTGTCTGAACAGGTTCTATTTTGTTGTTCTGCCATAGTTATTATTAGTTCCATGTATTTGTCAGAGGATTCTATAATATTCCAGTTCCCCAAGTAGAAAGCGATAGGTTAGGGCCGGCCCCGTGGCGCACTGGGTAGTGCGCCGCTTGGGAAGCGCGGTGGCGCTCAGCTGCTACATCTATTGTGTAAAATTATACTCTTTAAAAGTAGACCAGTCTCGGGCCGGCCCGGTGGCGCACTGCTACAGCGCGCCGCTTGGGAGCGCGGTGGCACTCCTCCCGCCGAGGGTTCGGATCCCACATACAGACCGGCTCCCGCTCACTGGCTGAGCGAGGCACGGGAGCAATGCCGAGGTTTGCAATCCCGTTGCCGGTCCCTGGTCCGGTACGGGGGCAACACTGAGGGTTGCGATCCGTTGCTGGACACGGAAAAAGACAAAAGACAAAAAAAAAAAAAAAAAGAAAGCGATAGGTTAAATTTTAAAAGTTGTTTTTTATCTTCATCATAAAATCCTTGCAAGTTATCTTTTTCCATTCCCCTGTGTTCTGTAATTCAGAAACCATGAAAGGAAGAGGGAGGAGTCTCTGGGAGTGCGTTTACATGGGGACTCCTCCAGGGACTATTGTGTTTCTATCATCACTTTACACCCAGCACTGTTGCAGGAATGACTGCACATGCATTTCATTCTCCTGATGAGACAAATTTTGCAATCTATTTATCATGTTCTACATCCCACCAATACTGTTTCCTAACTAGACTTAGACTTATGTGACCCACAGCTCTTACAGCTGCTACATCTATTGTGTAAAATTATACTCTTTAAAAGTAGACCAGTCTCGGGCCGGCCCGGTGGCGCACTGCTACAGCGCGCCGCTTGGGAGCGCGGTGGCACTCCTCCCGCCGAGGGTTCGGATCCCACATACAGACCGGCTCCCGCTCACTGGCTGAGCGAGGGGCGGGCGCAGCACCGAGGGTTGCGATCCCGTTGCCGGTCCCGGACCGGTACGGGCGCGACACTGAGGGTTGCGGTCCGTTGCTGGACACGAAAAAAGACAAAAAAAATTTTTTTAAAAAGAAAAAAAAACATAAAAATAAAAGTAGACCAGTCTCTGTCCTAACACCCAGATGTCACCATTATTTTGTTGTTCCTGGAAACATATATAGTAGGTGTTTATGTATGCAGTTTGTACATTTTATAAAAGAATGTGGTTTAATGTGCAATTGTTAAAATGATTGCTTTCTTTCCTAGATTACCATGTGTTTCCCACTATATAATACATTTACACATGTGCATATCAATATAGGTATACATGTACAGATATAGATCTATATCCCATTAAGCTCAGTAGTTTTTTGTGTAACCCATAAATACATTTTGTGTTGTTCTTCAGGACAGTGACAAGACTCCAAAATAGTATATGGCTTGACCTCTATTGTTGCTGTGTGCACATTTATTGAAAAAATATGTGTGTATAAATTTTTTTAGCACAAACAAGCAATCTTTTGAAAATGCCTGTATATTGATCCTGGGCACTAATGAGCAATTGAAAAACTTAACAACACTTGGAGTACTAGGTGATTAGGTCATTGGCTAACTTGGTTTATGTGGTTTCTAATGAAATATTTGAGAGAAGCAGAACAGAATGTCTCCCTGAGCCTAAGTGATACACTCAAAATGCCTGCATGTTGTAAGGCTTCTTCAAATGCTGAAATGTATTTCATTACAGCCGAACATCAGCAGAATCCCTAGGGTTTGGATCATTTGAAAATACTGTGTTGGAAAGGGCACCTTAATAACATCGTAAAGCTGGAAGTAGAGAAGGGATATGAAGAACAATAGACATTTTTTAATCTCAGAAAAAAAATCCATCTCGAGTTAGATTTGTTTTTATATTGGCTTTTCCTCTTCCCTCTTTCTCTCTGTCACACAATAAAATGCCTTTGAAATACTGACACATAAATAATTTCCTGCCGAAACATCTCAGAATCTGATTTCATCAAAAAGAGAGGAATAAAAATAAGTTACAGCTAAGTTCCCAGAGTGGCGACAACAGCACTGCCTTTGCTTTCCCTGGATCTGAGGGTTCTCCAGGCGGATGCGGGCGGGAGGCTCTGTCCACCTTGCCAGCAGGGCTCTGTGCAGCTTTTGTCCCTTCCCTCATTTCTTATTCTTTGTTACTTTTTCTCACCTGACTGATTTTTAACTTGGCATTTAGTCAATTTCCCCTTACCACTGCTAGGTTCTGAAGGGTATTTAAAAAGAAAGAAAGAGGGGAGAAAAAAACTCTGAATAACCTCTGAGTGATAACTACCCTCTCCTTCCTCTTTTTCATAAGAAATAGAGTTCTTTCACCTCCTTGATTTTCTGTGCATTTTAGTTTTCATTCTTTGTCCTTTCAAACCAGACTGCTAAATTATACATCAGAGACTTATAAAGGTTTTTTTTTAATTAAATGGAAAATATCAAAGAAGCAGTGCAAGAGTATGTGACTGGTAGAATGAAGTCTGTTAGAATGCCAAAGGAATCACTAGAGAAATGTGACCTCTTTTTTTCCCCACCAGGTATAATCTTCAGCCTTACTAGTTTACAACAGTCCAGTGTTTTTTAGAAGAATCCTGTACGTCACAATTTTAAATATATTTATACCAGAGAGGTCCCAGTCTCCTGGGTAATATAGATATTAGAGTGGAGAAAGGGGCAGCCATGATGATCTTCTTTAGGGAAAGAGTACTTTTTGACAGTGAGGGTATTTTCAGGATTCCAGAAGACATGTTATTAGTACATTGGGCTGAAAATGTTTTCCTTTCTGAGTACAGAAACAAAACGTTCTGTGTCTGTATCTATGTATAGTCTATATCACACCTGAGGGTATGGAGTAGTCCTATTCTGCCTGCAATGAATATGTTTCACTGTCTGGCATCTAATCTTCTGAGATGTGTGTAGTCTCTGCTGCTGTAGCACTGTTCCAGTGCCGCTATGCACTAGCTATTGTGGGTTTGCACCGTCAGTGTTGTTGTTACATGTGTTCTGCTCTTCTCTCCCTCTCCTGCCGCTGCCCCCGCTCCACCAGAGAGAGCCGCGGGTCTCTGCTGCCGCCTAGTAGTTCCCTGTCACAAAGGGATGCCACGGCTTACCGATCTGTCTGTCAAAACCAAAGATGTCTGGGAAATTCCTCGAGAATCCCTGCAGTTGATCAAGAGACTGGGAAATGGGCAGTTTGGGGAAGTATGGATGGGTATGCTGAGACTTAATTACTCTATTATTAGCTTCCTCATTTGGGAAATCCCAAACATCAAAGATGGAAGGTGAAAATAAAGACTCTGACCAAGGAGAAAGTTGGAAATACCAATCGTGGGGAATAATTTTAATTTTGATTTTGATTTCAAAATTCTGGAATTTCTAGAAAAGAGATAGTAAGTGGGCAAGATTGGCAAATGGCTCAAGTCATGCTATTACATGAGCCTCAATTCATAAACCAGTAAATGGTACAAGGGATGTTCCAGCCTGCATGAAATGTCTTGCCCTGCATTTCCAACTGCAAATATTTGTTGAATGTCACCTAAAGAGCAAGTCACCTTCCATCTTTCCTAGTGCATGCATGGTTATGGATTATAAGGACTGTGTTTTCTTTATTAATTCCTTTTTCTATAGAGAAAGCTGATGGTTTGTGTTTTAACTTAACTGTGATTGCATCAAGTTGTACCCCACAAACTTCTGGATTGGCTAAAGATGCTTGGGAAGTGGCCCGAGACTCGTTGTTTCTGGAGAAGAAGCTGGGTCAGGGGTGTTTCGCTGAAGTGTGGCTTGGTAAGGCAGAGGGCACATTTTCTTTTGGCTGCATCTCAAAGCCAATAAAAAGAATGGTTTTGAATAAAAACATACACAGCCATTGGGACAAAGACACTTAACCTGGATCACTACCTGGGCACAGGCCATTCAGATTTCAGAGTATGGTGACACCTTGCTGTGCTCACCTGTCCTACTTCATGTGGTTAACTAAGGCATTCACAGGACAGGAAACCAATACACTATGAATCTGGTGTTTCCACTTCCTAAGAAAGGGGAAGGTAAGATACTATGAGTATATATGGGCAGCTGTAGAGAAAGACCACGGGCTTTTTGCTTAATGAGCCTGAGTTTGAATTCTTACTAGCTGATTAACGTGAACAAGGTGCTTATTTAATCTCTTTGAGTCTCAGTTTTCTCACCTGTATAATTGGAGTGATACCTACTTCATAGGATTGTCTTGAGGATTACATGGGACAATATGATTTAAGTCCTTAAAGTCTCTCTCTGGACTTTATCTCAAGTATTGTAAAATAGAGTTATATGACCGTCCTCTCCCTCATCCACCTAATTTATAACTGAAGTTATGGATCCTAAGGATTTTAATCAAATCAGTCACACAATCAAAAAGAATTGAACCGTATAAAAAAATTTATTTTCAAACTTTATAATTATCAGCTTTAAATCATTACACATACCATTAAGATTTTGTTTGTCACTAAACATAAAACAATATGCCCATTGGAATCAGGGTCGATTCCTACGTAATTAACAGGGTAGTTATTAAAGAGGAATGCATTTAAATTTTGGGGTTGCTACCACTTAAATAGCAAAGATCACTTACAAGTTGTCAAATTTCCTATTTATATGTAATGGGTAGATACTTTATGAGATTTAAATGAATTCTTCTTTAGCTGGCCAGTTAACTCAGTTGGTTAGAATGTGGTACTGATAATACCAAGGTCTGGGGTTCCATCTCTGTACTAGCCAGCAAAAAATAAAGAAAATAAAATAAGTGAATTTTTCTTTTAGCTACTTGTTTTTTCATAATTTATATTTTTGTAGGTTGCATGTTGTAATTAAATGAACCATGTTTTTAAAAGGATAACAAGAATTGATCCAATTTACAGAATTCTTAAATTCTAAAATCAGTTATATTAAATATAAAAATAAATCTTAATTTAAACCAGATCTCTTTTTCAAATAGAAAATAACATAACCTAAGTTGGCTAATTTTTATTTTTCCTTTGTAAATTTATTCTTCAAAGGACTAATTATTGTAGGACTAATAGTGGAATACACATAGAACCTAGTCTTTTGTTTTGTTTTGATTTTTAATTTGGGGGCTGAAGGAGACTCAAAAGATAATCCAATTACATTCCTATATTTTACAGATGAGGTAACTGATGATGATTACAAACTAGGCCCTGCCTTAGGATCTACTAGATTTTTTTAACATACTAAGTTTAAATATTTCTGTTCCCTCTTAGCTGCTGTTCAGTTTCCCAAGTATACTGACAGAAGCCATTGTTCTTGTGGCTGACCATCAGTAGACCTGAGGAAATTGCCTTACGGGGTTGAAGCACTGGCGAGTGGACTGTGAGCTCCTCGCCAGCACTTCTTGGCATGCTTAGCTCTACTGTTCAAGGACTCAGTCAAGTAACTCATCCACTGCAGACAATTGAAGTCTAGATGTAACTTCTAAACATCCTCAGTGTGTTGCCATATTTTTCAGAATGGTACACCCAGTGGAATGGAATTCAAATAATCTTATTTCTTCCATGCTCACTCTAGTACATAAGGGGCGGTAATTGGATGGCCAAGCCTATTCTAACCCCTGGGCTTTCATCACTGTAAACAAGGGTCCAGAGCTTTTGGTATAAATTTGTAATCATATGACTGAGCCAGAAAAAGAGAATGGCATGTATCAAAATAGGAAAAAAATTAAATGAATTATAAACCTTAATACAGGTATATATAGCCATAGCCATGAGTGAACATATTTTTCCTGTTGAAATACTTGACAGAGTCCTTGCAATTGACTGTCTTTGTTCAACAAAAAACTACATTAAGTTTTTTTTAAAACTAAAATCTAACTTTATGCAAATAGCTACTGATCAAAAACTTTTTTTTTCCATGAAAAGAGTATCTTTGGTTTGACTTAATGTTGTGGGATGTTTGCAGGTACCTGGAATGGAAACACAAAAGTAGCCATAAAGACTCTTAAACCAGGCACAATGTCCCCTGAATCATTCCTCGAGGAAGCACAGATCATGAAGAAGTTGAAGCACGACAAGTTGGTCCAGCTGTATGCAGTGGTGTCTGAGGAACCCATCTATATTGTCACCGAGTATATGAATAAAGGTTGGACAGTGCCTTTCCCATTTCCACCTCACAGTGCCCTACAGGGATTGTTTCCGGGAGAGAAATGGAGCTGACTGCCTGCTTTTTTCCTAGTTTTTGCATGAGTCAAGTATTCCCATCAGGAAGCACCAGTTATGTGCACAGTAATGAAAACATTTTTAAAACAGAACAAACTTGAGTTTGCCCCCCAAATCCTTGTGAAGTGCATCTTGCGCATGTCAGGAATTCAAGCTCCACCCCATAATTAAAACATTCATTTTTAATATTGGGGATGGTAGAGAGGGCTGTGATAGTTTGCTGTTATTTTGAATGCAGTAGCTTTTGTTAGATATCCTTTTTGCAGGGCTAAACAATTAATATCAAACACTAGTCTCTGGGCTAAATTTAGTCTCCATCATTTCAACATTTTATTTTTTTTCAGCTTTCTTCAACATCAGATGAAGAAATGACATGCTTTTAAAGAGCACATTTTATTCTTATATTCTCTTTCTCTCTCTGTCTCTTCTAATCAAACCAATATTGTCAAGGATAAGGCCAAAGATCACTTTATTTCGGAAAACTAGATGACTAAACAAGAAACAGCCTTAAAAGGCAATGCATTGTACATCAGAGGACAGAAGTGTAATTTTTCTTTTCCACATACTTTCTTTCAAAAGATAATTGGAATTTTTTCTTGGCAGATTGTTTGTCCTTTTTATCCAGGGTTATTTTGTAAATAACTTTGTGATTAAAGCATAAAAAATTTGCTGATGACCATCATGAGCCTCCAGCTTCTGCAAATGATTATTTCCTCCTTGGTGTTCTGAGCCTCCTCAGGCTGTTATAATAGTGGCTCTGAAGTGCCAGCTGTTTCCTTTCAGATGTCTGATTTAAGGCTTGGGTAGCTATGATCTAATTAGGGGGAGCTACCTGCCCCACCCACATTTGTCAGATGTTCTCTTGTTGGTTTAAAATCTGTAAATAAGCTAGGCCAGGGATTCTCAAACTTAACCTTTTATTAGAATCACCTGGTTTCTGGACCCAACCTCCAGAGTTTCTGATCCAGTAGATCTGGGATGGGACCCAAGAATTTGCATTTCTAACAAGTTTTCTGACAATGCTGTTGCTGCTGATCCAGGGACCATAGTTTTTGGAGCACTCAGCTGGGTTCTATTTCCCCCACTTCACTCCCTTGGGCAGGGCTGATTGGGAGATAAGACTGAAGTGGTATAACTCCTCACATGTTCCACTTATAAAGGAGACTGCCTTCCATTTCTTCTAGTTTTATCAAATTTTTGCTGTTATCCTTAGAAATGGAGTCAATGCTGTTTATCTTTTAAAGGCAAAACTGTTGCTTCTCAATGGATGGAATTTTTTCTACCCTGGTTTTTTATATAAACCTTTACTTTTTTCATTGATGGCAGTATTCCATTCAACTATTTATTACTTCTAATAAGAAAACTTAGGAATTTTTGTCTTTCAAAGTAAATTGAAATGGTTTTATGTTTTGTTTATAGGAAGTTTACTTGATTTTTTAAAAGATGGAGAAGGAAGAGCTCTGAAATTACCAAATCTTGTGGATATGGCAGCACAGGTAAGCCCCGGGGTACCTTGATTTGTGCTATAGATTTAACATGTAAGCCCATTGGGTCATGGTGTAATGTATGTGTCCTGTTCCCTGGGTTTCCACAGGTTGCTGCAGGAATGGCTTACATCGAGCGCATGAATTATATTCACAGAGATCTGCGATCAGCAAACATTCTAGTGGGAAATGGACTAATTTGCAAGATTGCAGACTTTGGATTGGCCCGATTGATCGAAGACAATGAGTACACAGCGAGACAAGGTGGGCACTTGAATGGCAGTGGCTGGCAATCACATCCTTGAGAACAGTCACTTACTGCACCACCCTTCCTTCCTCTTTACCTTCCTTCCTCTTTACCAAAAATATTTGAAAAGTGTTCTCCAGCTGGATTTTTCCTCCTTGATCTGGCAGGAATTTGACAGCTGTGCAGGTGGGAGACGGTGGGTTCAATAGGTGGACGAGATACTGCTTTTTGGTGAGTGGGTGTCACTGCTGTGGTCCTCCCACCTCATGCAGCCCTCCTCACAGCACCAAGCCTGGGGGGCTCTGCTTCTGGAGAAAGGAGACTGTGGAAAGCCAAGGGATCGGTCTAGTTGCAGCTCATCACTCAGTCAGTCAAAAGTCCCAGCAGACTCAAATTGAAGAAGGCACACTCAAATGGGAGAATTTAATAAAGGAGTTTTTTACAAAGGCAGGTGGGGTTTAGGAAAACCAACAGGCATGGTGCAGTATCTCAGAGCTAGTAACAGCAGGGGAACCGAGACCCAAAAGGCAAGGGGGCAGGAAATGGGCACCAGAAGTCAGAACTGTGCAGAGAGGGCCCCCTCTGCAGAGAGGCAGCAAAGATGGATCTGGGGGATTAATAGCCAATCTCACTCTTCAGCCTGCTCCCATGTCTCCTGCCAAACCCAACCAGAAGCCAGAGGTCAAGGAACCTACTGAGGCATCCTTCTGGGTCCAGAGCAGAGAGAAAGGTAGAGAGAGGACGTGGAGAGAGGATCTGGAGGGACTACAGCAGATGACAGCATAGTCCTTCGAGAAGCTCTATCTCCTTTAATCATCTCCCTCCACCCCACCCCTGTAGAAATTCATAGAAATTAGCCTTTAAGTGAAATACACCCCAAACCAGCAGCTGCTGCAGTGAGGATAGCTTTTCCGGTGCTAGAAGAGCACCATATACCAGGGAAGAATTCCCAGAGATATTTTCTGTCTTCACATAGTGATCACCAAGTAAATGTGTTGAAGTATGCAGTTTGCAATCCAATATATGCTTCTCGTGTAGAATATAATGCTTGTGATGAGAGAAGGAGGTAACTTTCATTGTTGCTGTTTTTAACTGAAGCCTAGTCATTCCAAGCAAGGCCAAGCAGAAACTGGAATATATTACAGGGTGGTGTTTTCTGCTGAATTTCATAATGTCCATCTCTAGACTTCTTCTTTTCCTTCTTCTCTTCCTCCCTCTTTTGACTCTTTCACTTCATGCCAATTCTTCCCTCCTTGAATTTGACTCTGAGAATGGAAACGTTCTCAGCAGTCTGAAGTGATGAGGGAAAATGTTAACCTGAGACCCTGGCTGATAAAGATACTGTGCAAATGCTAAATTTTTACATGTCGGTCAGGCAGCTCAGCTATTTGAATTTCCCCAACACGTGCTGGTTCTTGTCCTGGAACCAAATGCCCACAGAGTGAGCAGGCGCGCACATTACACACACACACATACACCCACACCCTGGTGCGGGGCCAGATGGCGTGCCGTATCTCTAGTCAGAGGCACACGGCAGCTCTGATGGGCACTGGCAGTCCAGAGAGGAATGCAGACGTGATTTTGAGGCAAGGTGAGCTGAGAGACTGACTGCCAGTGTATCTGAGACCCGGCTCTGGAGTTTATCCTGAGGCAAGCCTGGCAGCCCCAGCTCCTCACACTGGGAAGGAGAGTGGGCAAAGGTTGGGAGACATGAACATTTGACTTAGAAAAGGGCTAGAATGGAGTCATGTAAGAGCCCTCCTGAGTGTGAGTAGAGTCCTGGTGCCAGAGGGAGTGGTTCAGGATTTGTTTCTTCCCTTTTCCTGGACTTTAGGCTCTACAGAATCTGTGATTAACACCCTTGCACTATCAGTAATTGAGAAGGTTGCAGGGCCAGGAGCCAGAGGAGGCTGGAAACATGCCATTGACAGGGCGTGGGCACCTAGTTCATGGTTGTTCACTGGAGTGAAGCACCTCAGTCTGTGGACCCGCACGATGGGTTCCCCTCCCTGCTCTCCCCCACACCATGCTGCTGCTCTGGGGCAGGTCCCCGGGCTGCCGTCCTCAGCCTTGGCCATCTGCCTTGGCCATCAGCACCTTACCAGGTGCTGTCTGAACTCCTTGCAAAGGACATACCCTTTGTCCACACTTCCTTGCTTAATTTCCAAATAAAAGGTCCCATCCTTCCTTCTTAAAACTTTTTTTCTTCTTTCTTCCCTTTCCCAAACATCTTCAAATCCATGCCAAATACTGGAAAGAGATAAGTAAGGAGAAGATCAACTGGAGAACTGAACTAGGGGAATCCCAGGATTCCCAAGGAGAATAAAAGAAATGCTGACCTGCAACAGAGGGAAAGGAAGGGACAGGGACATTTATAGAGCACCTTCCAAGCGACAGGCCTGAGAGGAGAAATGTGAAGATCGGAGAGGGGAACAATAGAAATAGACTCAGAGGGGTTAAGTAACTTTTATAAAGTCACACAGCTAGGAAAGTGGCAGGGCCAGGATGTGAATCCAAGTATGGCTGGCCTTCTTGTGTCCACCCTCTTAAGCTATGCTGACTGCCTCCCATTAGGACAGTGATTAAAAGAACAGAAAATTAAAATGGAAAAGATTAGTCATAAGTCTCTTTTCCATTTATTTTATGAGAATGTTTTTAAGGGACATCTTCTAATGTGCATGTGTGAGAGGGTTGGAAAGACCTACATTTTCCAGCACTGGGATGACCCATCTGTTTATAAAACTCCTCCCACGGGTCTGCCCTACCTCAGCCTTTTTACGATGCAGAAAGGGCCTAGCGTGTATCTGCTGGTGTGCTCTGCAGATGGCATGCACGCTGCATGCTGAAGTTTCTGCAGGGGATTAATCAGCTCCTCCAGACAGCTGGTCCTTGTGTCTGATAATATTTGGAAGTCGTGTTTTATGTTACCCCAGGCCACAACCATGCTGCATCTTGATTACGGGAGTGCAGGCAGTGTTCAGAAACATGTGCCAAAAACAGATATTTTAGGACTGTGAATGACAATTGCTTTCAAAACAGTTGTGAGTTTTCTATCTCAGGGTGCACTGAAATGTCTGCCACCCCCCTGAGCAGATGAGGTGGCATTGTACAGGGCACAGACAGAATTGGAATTTGGAGCTGCGTTATTCAGTCCTTTCTGTGTTCCTTTCCCCGACCTCCCCCCACCTACCACTGGACTGTGAGCGGAAGTCCTGTGTCAGGGAGGAGCCAAGACCAGCCCAGAGCTTGGGAGGGTGCTCCACCCCTGACAGTATTCTAGAAGCAACTAGAAATCATTTGGGATTGCTCATTCTCTATTGCCTGTACATCTCACTCAGTTATAGCGGACTGTTCTTCTTTAGTGTGAACTCTTTGCTAAATTCTGTCCAATCAGGGTCTGTAAATAATGCCAACATAAGTTCTTTGAGTGCCTCGTCTATAAAAGGGGCTTTGCTTGGAGCTACTGATATGAAGAAGCCTAAAACTACACAGGAGCAGTCAGCAAGATGAGAAGGGCAGAACACCTATTGGTCTGGGGCCTAAACAAGTTAGTTAACTTTTCCATACCTCAGTTTGCTTATCTGTAAAATGGACGTACATTTTACCTGTTTTGTGCATTTTTGCAAAGATTAAGTGAAATAATACACATAAAGTGTTTAGCACAGTGCCCAGCACATAGAGGGTGGTAAATAAATGTTGGTATTTTTAGGTACTGTACAAGACTAGCCTCTTAGGGAATAAACAAATGAGCGAATGGATTGCATATCCAGTAGAAAGGCTCAAACACAATTCGGGAAAGGGAGAGCATAATCAAAGAAAATAACCGAGTAGCCAAATACAAGTAATCGTGGGAATGGAGTGCCCAGCAACCAAAATGAGTGAGTTGGGAAGAAGATCTTATTTTCAGAGAAAAAGGATGAGTTTGGTTTGGGACTTGTTGAGCTTCCAAACCCAGGAGGTCAGTTGGTGTGCCCTCACCTGGTCCCACTGCCACAGCTGCGTCCTCAGCCTCCCAGCCCTCCCACCAGGTCTGATCCCACCTCCTGATCCAGGTCTGATCCCTCCAGCCACCTCCCTGCCCAGTGATGCACCTTCATCCCAGCGTAGTTTGAGCTAACCACAGCCCCACCTGGGCCTCAGACCCTCGAGGATCTGCTGTCCATCCTTTTGTCTTCACAGGTCCCCACAACACCGTGCTGTCCAGTCTTCAGCCCCTCTGCCCATCAGTTCCTTCACAGCTCACATGAGCACATGAGAAACAATGGGAGAATTCTCCACAGACTGTTTTTCTTCACAATCTTCTAGGCAGCTCAGTGCTAATGTTGATTTAAACCTCACAAGTTCAGATAAACCTGGTTTATGTGTAAGAATGACTTGCTTTTGTCGACACTTTTTTATTTTTCACTGAGCCATAGCGTTCATACAGTAAAATGAACAACTCTGAACTGTGCAACTTGGGGAATTCTTACATATGTACATGCCCCTGATGCCACCCCACAGATGAAGACACAGAATACTACCAGCACCCCAGAAAACCCCCTCATTCCCACTCCCAGGCAGAAACCACCCCCAGAGGTAGCCTCTATTTTTCTTCTATTACCATAGATTAGTTTTGCCTGTAAATGAACTTCACAGACATGAATCGTATAGTATTACTCTTTTGTCTGGCTTCTTTCCCATCATTTTGTCTGTGAGATTCATCCATGTTGCTGCATATAACAGTAGCTCTTTTCTTTTCATGGCTGAGTAGTGTTTCACTGTGCCAGTATATCAGTTTATCTATTCTACTGGTGGGGAACGTTTGGGGTTATTTCCAATTTGGGGCCATTATGAATACAGCTGCTGTGGTGGTGGACATATGTGCTCATATCTCTAGGGTATATTCCAGGTGGAATTGCAAGTCATAGGGCAAGCCTAGGTTAGCAATTGTAGTTACTGCCTGACAGACTTTGTGGACATATCTTTAAAGGGAGAGTACACAGATACTGTGCCATTTACCAGTGTTGTACTTCTGCCC